AAAAAGTTCACGCATGCTCATTACGTTTTTCCGCCCTGAACTTTCACATACATTCTATTTTGAAACTCGCCCCAGTCCTCTCTCAAAAATCGGAGAAAATGCGTTTGGTGCGCACTTTCTGCAGCTCTACCGCAAAAACGAGTACGGTGACCATTTTTTATTTCATGATTAGAATAAGGACAGTGCTTCCTTTCGATGAGAAAAAAATTGGCACAAATCTATGTTCAGTTTTTTGGCAATTTTACTAAATTGTACGGATTGAGCCATCACAGGTCGAAAAGCGCGCGTCCAATTTAATTCTACTTTGGAGCGTAAAGTAAAAACAAGGGCATTAAAAGGCATTTTTCTGGTACGTAAGTGGATAAACAATACATTAAAGTCAAATTCTGTGTGATGTCACATGCATCATCGAAAAAATCTCTCCTTTTTGTCTAGTTTTGCACTGCCCGCGGTTTTTGTAAAAGGGTCCTAAATAGCCGTATTTGTCAGCATTGTGACGTCAAAACGAGCACGGTGACCCCCACTTTTTATTACTTTTTTATCATCTTCTTGACTTGTTACATCAGTGTACCAAGTTTAAGCTAAAATCTATGTTAGGTTCTTTTACTATGGAATCACCTTAATTTTTCACATTTCACTCCCCAGGTTAGGCTATTTTTCTGCTGGAAAAAGGAAACCTAAAATTTGGGGGTTCATGGAGAGAGGAATCAGAAAAATTCTCACTTTTGTAATACGTTAATTGCATCCCAAATTTTCGAGAAAATAAAACTGACTAGTCCTTGAAATTGTGAAGACACTCAAGTTCCCCTAGGATGACCGAACAGGTACAAAATTTATAGCACCGCTTAGAATGCATTTCTAGATAGCCAAAAGTACTCTGCATAGCCTAAAATGTTTTTTCATTGTATTTAGGAGGAAACCGTCGTTGGGTGTCCCCGGGCCATGCTGGCCTCCTTTGCTTGTGTGTGTGATTAATTTATTTTTTGTTAATCACTGGCTTCTACTGTTTCTAGGTATGCAAGAAATGTTTTGACAAGGGACCTCAAGGTACTGGAGCGTGGCGGTCTTTTACAAAAGACCTCGAAATGTATCGAGAAAACTTCAAGAAAAGAGCTAACAATAATGTACAAAATGTTGTACCAAAGCAACCAGCAAGTGATGTGGAAGAAGAAATGCAAAGGCTTGTAAATGGCTACAAGAAGCATGTTGGTTCATCTAAGATCAAGTCTTTCATGACAGAAGCCTTCAGTTTAGTGAAGATTCCTGACTGGCAAAAGTCGAAGCACTGGATGGTGAGAAATAGAATAGCCTTATGTAGCAGGCACTTTGAAAGTTATGGGTACAAAAAAGAATGAGGCGCATTACAGAGACACACAAGGGAAGACGGAGGGCCTTGGACAGGCGCTCCCTCTCCTCGCAAGCCTCCCTCACAGGGGCGGATCTAGTGGGAGGGTGCAGGGGGTGCGCACCCCCCCCCCTCCCCTGAGATGACCTGAGGTTTTCTTATACAAGTGGTATTCTGCAAAAAACAAACAAACGTGGTTTATTGGTGTTGAAGTAGAGCAAGAGACGAGTGCACCCCCTCCTAAAAGAAATCCTGGATCCGCCCCTGCCATATCACTTACCCTGTTCTTTCTGAACATATTACTTCCAAGTGGCTGCTGTAAAGGTTTCAGAAATGGAAAGACCTACTTAACGTACAGTATTTTTTATTGAAGAGTTGTGCAGAATGTGGCTTTAAGTGGTTACTTATGTAATGTAGAATGGCAAATTGGAGGGAGAATCTAGCTGTTCACAGTTCCAGATACAGAAGAATCCCCCTAAATGCATCCTATGAATGCACAGATTTTTATACTAAATTAACAACTTTTGGACTTTAAAACTGCATTTTTGCCACTGAAGGATCATTAATTTTATAAGGATCTACGCACGTGAACTTTACTTGAAAATCATGTATTAGGACCAGGAAAAGTGGAAACAACTACATGTAGCTTCCATGGTGTGCATAAGTTGGGACCCCTTAAATAAAACATTCTAGGACCTCTTCAATATTAAGGAGCTCAGTATAAAATAGTCTATTTGATTCAGAGCTAATATAGTTGTTTTTGTTTTGTTTTTGTTTTTTTTCCTTTCTTCTTTTGCAGCAAAACTCATCAACAAGTGTTTGTACTTTGTGTGGGAAAACGTTCTCAGTAACTGAGACAAAGTGTCACTGCAAGTGAGTAACAGTCTTGTAAAAATGTCAAAATGATCAAAATGATATCTTTAGTTTATTTTAGAACATTAAGGTCTCGGTAAAGGAAAACGAGGTGCCCACAGAAAAGAATTCTAGTCGCGCGAGTTTTTTCGCTACAAAGGCAAGTTATACATCAAATTAAAGCTAAAAGACTAAATTACCTTATAAAAGATTTTATTTCATCGAATTTCAAAAGGCGCTTAAGTTTTTTGCTCTCGAACTCAGAGGTATCGAGTTTACTACTGAAGCTCCAGCCCTTTCGCGTTGTTAAATATTCACTTCCTTTTTATTGCATCTGATTGACAGATAAAAGACCTAAAAAAGGGTGTGAGGAATTTTCCGATTTCCCTTTGTAACTCATTTTATGTCAGTTTCTTTGCGTAAATCGCGCTCGAGATTCGACTTTTTAGTTTGAAATGCAATAATTCCGCTAATACGAGACAAAAAAAATAAAAATAACAAAATATGCAAATTTCCTCAACTCTCAGCACTGTCCTCCTTTTAATTTAACCTTCTTCTTTCTACAGGGTTTGCGGTTCCATAATCTGCTCATCATGTTCATCGGAAACACTCATTCTATACCCATCTGGACAATCCAATACCGTAAGTTGGGCTCTCATCAACATCATCAATTCCCCGGATGAGGAACCAACCGGTTGTTTTTACTTGCGAATTTGCAGCGCTTGTCACGACAGGGCAGCGGTATTACAGGCAAATACTGTCACTGACGGAGCGCCTGTGACGTCCATACTGGACGACATCGCTAATATTCATCAGACTCTTATCAAGATTCAGATTAAAATTAATGATATGCTTCCCAAGTATGAGACTCTTGTGGATGCGTTAGAGGCTAAAACAGATTTAAAGGGGCTCATTCCCGCTCCGCAGAGTGCTACGCAGACAATGGCTAAGTATCATTTGGATTTGTCAGATCTCTTCACGCAGTTCGCTGTTGACATACAGGGCATAAAACGTCTCAAGCCGCAAACAAACACCCAGATAAAACTTGCTAAAAATTTAGCGATTGGTATGTTTAACTTCTACGGTGATAATTTCCCGCTGTTTAGAGATTGCAAAAGGCGCGTGGTAGAAATTCTTCCGCAAGAAATACTGGAGAAAGTTCAAGTGATCGTCGATCAAAACGCCATCAACAACGCGTACATTTACACCAAACAGCTTGGGCTCGAGGCTTTGCTGTTGGCAGATAAACACAAATTTGATCATCAAATTGCCACTTTGCTGGCCGACTGTGAGAACGTCTGTCTCGAGGATTTGAAATCGCAGGTCAGGGAGAGTCAAGAGGACTGGGATCACCATGAAAAAATTCTGCAAGAGTTGCTTCACATTAACATTAAAGAGCATCGCTTGGTTGTTCCCTCTAGAAAATCGACGCATGCGCAAGGTGCGGTTTACGTACAAGCTTTTTTGTTTGATCGCTGTTGTCTTTTACTAGCAAAAACACTTTTTCAGTTGAGTGCTAAGACAACTGAGAAAAAGTTCTCGGCTTCTAAAGAAGCGTTGCAGAATTTGAGCATACAACTGTCGACCTTAAGATAATGTAACTAATTAAACAGTTTAAACAAACATTGTAGATAACCAATCTAGGGATCAAAGCAAACTGTTTTATCGAATTCACTCTGGTGAAAAGCGTAGCTTACAAAATCTGGGTACCTCCAACAAAGCTCTTCTTTGGTTCGAAAGTTATCTTACAAACAGACAACAGTCCACTCGTGTTGCAGCTTCATTGTCAGACCACTCACTATTACACATGGCATACCTCAGGGCTCAATTCTCGGCCCAACGCTCTTCAGCCTGTACATGAATGATCTACCCAAAGTCATCAAGTTTAGTAACATCGAATCTTACGGTGATGACACTAAGATATATTTCTCGTTCGCGTCAAAGAACATTGATTCATGTCTACGCCAAGTTGATGAGTATCTCAAACATGTTTCAGAGTGGTGTTGGGCTAACCACCTCTTTCCTGAAAAAACAAGTTTGTCCTGTTTGGGGTGGGGCAACTGATCTCCAAGTTGCCCAGTAACATCACCGTACCTTTCCTTGATCAAGACCTTGTACCTGTAACTTCTGTCAAGGACCTTGGCGTCACACTTGATTCGAACCCGACCTTCAATGGCCATATCGCTTCACTAACCTCCTCCCTTTTGTCAACATTAGTTCAAATAAATAGGGTACGGCACTTGTTCTCTAAAGATGCACTGTACATAATCCTAAATTCCCTGCAAACTGTTCTATTGCTCGACCGTATGGTCTGAAACTGCTAAAGAAAACATCCATAAACTACAACTTATGCAAAACTTTGCCGGCCGTATACTTACTACCACAAAAAAGTTTGATGACATTACACCAGTCTTACATGAACTTGGTTGGCTCACCATCGAAGAGCCACTACGTGTACGTGATGTAACTATGATCTTTAAATGTCTCAATCGTCTTGTACTAAAAATAATAATAATAATAATAATAATAATAATAATAATAATAATAATAATAATAATAGTCTTTATTCAATGAAAGGATAAAAATACATATTCTAAGTTACGGTGAAAATGTATTAAAAGATACACGATAAAATACTATAGTAATATAAGATAGAATAATACTATACTAAATTATATTTGAAAATAAGTCTATTTACAAAAGTTTCCTTGTTTCTCTCCGTTTTTATCTGAGGAAGGTGACACCTTCTCCTACGCAAATTATATACTAATTCGTTTTCTTTTGGAATGATCGCACCTAGCATATGATTATTAACAGCTCTTTTGAAAGCGGATTTATGCCCAGCTACTTAAGTACTAAGTTTGTAAAATGCTCTGAAACTCACTCGTATTACACTAGACAGAACAATCAACTTAGCCTCCCTCAGTGTCGAACCTCCGCGGCACAGTGTGCCTTCCGTTTCAGGGCGTCTAAATATTGGAACAGTCTTCTCAATGATATTAGAAACTCTGCCTCCGTTGAGGTTTTTAAAAGGAGTACCAGGCTTGAGATAATCAGAATGCAGAAATAGAAAAGTTGCCTACAGTTTGTTGATCTTTGTAATCAATTGTTTATTAACTTTTTGAATTTTTTTATAAATGTAGTTCTAGCATTCAAATTTAATTGTCTTTTATACATGTAATTTTTACCTATTTCGTATATTATACTTAGTGAATAATCTAGTAAATTAATTCTGAAAAATCCAATTGAGATAATTAATAAATGTATTGTATTGTATTGTATTGTAACTTTTAGCTAACAAAAGATTTATTTGACCAAGCAACGTTCGTAACGTTTTTCTTTCTCGAGTTGTAGCAGTTGCTTAATCTTTATGGATCTGAAGCTTCTCTTGATGCAATCTTGACTTTTCCGGTGAATTTAAAAGCTATTTGTGACTGAGCTTATGTACGGCATAAAATGTCCTGTGTATAAAGTCTTCATCATTCAACATCAGTATATCTTACCACTCATACTTACTTTTTTGCAGTTATGGACGATTGCATCATTATGTCTGCACGCGGGCTATTAATCTCGCAGTTCTTGACATGAGTATAAAAGACCTAAAAAAGGGTGTGAGGAATTTTCCGATTTCCCTTTGTAACTCATTTTATGTCAGTTTCTTTGCGTAAATCGCGCTCGAGATTCGACTTTTTAGTTTGAAATGCAATAATTCCGCTAATACGAGACAAAAAAAATAAAAATAACAAAATATGCAAATTTCCTCAACTCTCAGCACTGTCCTCCTTTTAATTTAACCTTCTTCTTTCTACAGGGTTTGCGGTTCCATAATCTGCTCATCATGTTCATCGGAAACACTCATTCTATACCCATCTGGACAATCCAATACCGTAAGTTGGGCTCTCATCAACATCATCGGTTCCCCGGATGAGGAACCAACCGGTTGTTTTTACTTGCGAATTTGCAACGCTTGTCACGACAGGGCAGCGGTATTACAGGCAAATACTGTCACTGACGGAGCTCCTGTGACGTCCATACTGGACGACATCGCTAATATTCATCAGACTCTTATCAAGATTCAGATTAAAATTAATGATATGCTTCCCAAGTATGAGACTCTTGTGGATGCGTTAGAGGCTAAAACAGATTTAAAGGGGCTCATTCCCGCTCCGCAGAGTGCTACGCAGACAATGGCTAAGTATCATTTGGATTTGTCAGATCTCTTCACGCAGTTCGCTGTTGACATACAGGGCATAAAACGTCTCAAGCCGCAAACAAACACCCAGATAAAACTTGCTAAAAATTTAGCGATTGGTATGTTTAACTTCTACGGTGATAATTTCCCGCTGTTTAGAGATTGCAAAAGGCGCGTGGTAGAAATTCTTCCGCAAGAAATACTGGAGAAAGTTCAAGTGATCGTCGATCAAAACGCCATCAACAACGCGTACATTTACACCAAACAGCTTGGGCTCGAGGCTTTGCTGTTGGCAGATAAACACAAATTTGATCATCAAATTGCCACTTTGCTGGCCGACTGTGAGAACGTCTGTCTCGAGGATTTGAAATCGCAGGTCAGGGAGAGTCAAGAGGACTGGGATCACCATGAAAAAATTCTGCAAGAGTTGCTTCACATTAACATTAAAGAGCATCGCTTGGTTGTTCCCTCTAGAAAATCGACGCATGCGCAAGGTGCGGTTTACGTACAAGCTTTTTTGTTTGATCGCTGTTGTCTTTTACTAGCAAAAACACTTTTTCAGTTGAGTGCTAAGACAACTGAGAAAAAGTTCTCGGCTTCTAAAGAAGCGTTGCAGAATTTGAGCATACAACTGTCGACCTTAAGATAATGTAACTAATTAAACAGTTTAAACAAACATTGTAGATAACCAATCTAGGGATCAAAGCAAACTGTTTTATCGAATTCACTCTGGTGAAAAGCGTAGCTTACAAAATCTGGGTACCTCCAACAAAGCTCTTCTTTGGTTCGAAAGTTATCTTACAAACAGACAACAGTCCACTCGTGTTGCAGCTTCATTGTCAGACCACTCACTATTACACATGGCATACCTCAGGGCTCAATTCTCGGCCCAACGCTCTTCAGCCTGTACATGAATGATCTACCCAAAGTCATCAAGTTTAGTAACATCGAATCTTACGGTGATGACACTAAGATATATTTCTCGTTCGCGTCAAAGAACATTGATTCATGTCTACGCCAAGTTGATGAGTATCTCAAACATGTTTCAGAGTGGTGTTGGGCTAACCACCTCTTTCCTGAAAAAACAAGTTTGTCCTGTTTGGGGTGGGGC